GTCGGAGCTATTGAGACGGCAGGACAGGGTTTACATTGAGCATATTACATCTATCCCGCCACATTAAGAATCATACGTAATGTTAGAGCAGAATTAAATGCAATATGAAACATAATTTATATCCACTTTAAGATGCTTTACATGAATATAGACTATAGAATCTCTTACAGGAAAGAAGACATCTTCATAATACTTACAAAGGCATGTGTGGAATAAAATTATTACAAGTGCTTATAAAAACACTTGTAAAGCTAGATTACATCGTGTTGGACTATCTTAAAATGCAATAGGTACCGTCCATTGTAGAAGAATAAAAATTAAAATAATCAAGAAAAGATTTAAATCGATCATCTCATTCCCACATCGCAAATCGCACAATAGACTTGGGTTAGAAGTTGGGCGTTGTCCATCTGACAAAACGGATTGCCTAACCTAGAAATATCGAGAGCGTTTAAGGCTTACATTATTATTACATTCAAATGAATTTCTTTTTACGAGGCATCTCTTATATAACGAATCAAATTGTTTCATTAATTTTAACACCTTCCGTCTAGAAAAAATCCTGAGTTAATTTTATAAAAGATTATTATTCCTCAGTAGTTTTTAAAACTATGGTAGGTGCAATACGTAGGTATAGTTCAATTGTAGGAACTATGTTTCATTTAAGCAATCCTATCCATCAAACCAAAACACTTTACTGGTGGCAGGACGTCTTGTGAGTCCGCACGGGTAGGTACCCTGCCTATTTCTGCCGTGAAGCAGTAATGCGTTACAGTTTGAAGGGTGGGGCAGCCGTTGTGCTCTTAAAACTGAGACCTTAGAACTCATAAACTCAAGGTGAGTGGCGGCTATTACGTTGTAATGTCTATGGGCTCTGGTGACCACTTAACATCAGGTGGGCCGTGTGCTCGTTTACCTAAGCTATAAAAAAAAGTCCACTGTAACTTGGATTCCACTGTTGTACCTTAAAAAACAATCAAATCAAGTCCTATTTCTCTCCACGATAATGTATCGACTTGTTTCAAATAGTGAAAGAAACCTAATTCCTATTTTGTTATTCAATATGAAATTATTGACTGTAAATCATGTTTCTACTAAAATCTGGACATCTAATTTTAAAGGTTTTTGATGATCTGAGATAGATCTGGACTACTAGCAGTTTATCAGATGCTGCGGTACCAAAATAGCCGTTCTCAAACACGTGTGGCACATAGAAATGTCGCAAGCTTATGTCAAGTGTGTCGCGAGATTTATAAAATAAACATTTATAATTTTCTTAATTAGTAATTTTAAGTAGTTACGTTTTAGTTTGATATAATTTGAAATACGTTTAATAGAATTGATATGTTTAATTTAATAAATGTATCAACCGTCATATCAACTTTTTTTTCTTTTTTAATTGAAAGCATTGGCAACACGTCCATCAGCTTAAACTAATTTTACAAAAAAAATAATAGAAAATGAACTAGGACTAACGATATAAACACAAATAAAAGAAACAAACCAAACCAAAAAACAATTACAAATCATTGAGAACAAAATTATAGTACTTAGTACTTTGTAGTTCAAAATTAAACACTATTGACAATAGTTGTGGAAGCTTCAAAACACCTTGAATGCAATTAAGAATACCCGTCACATCAGCTATGAAAAAAAATTTATGTGAATATGTTAAGGAGTCGCGAATATAGAAAGAATGCAATATTGAAAAAATCTTGGTTTTTTTCTGTCTCCATTAAAGGATATGCAAGAGCCCACAGATATCCCAAATTAAATACCGACGCCGACTTTGAGACTAAAAGTCGAAGCTTCAACAATTTTAATAAAATGAAGACCATCTAGTGATCATATAGGCTGCGACCTGTACAGGCTCAACGGTAAAGTACCACTAATCAATTTGGAATTTAAATCCTCAATAGTACATAGTAGCAGTGAATGAAGAATGTTGCTGATAACTCTGTTTCTATAATCTGACGAAGCATTTTGCGGATAATATTATGTACTTTTAGGTTATTAAACTATCTTGCATTTTGATTTATAATATAAGTTTAAAATAGATAACTAATAAATAGAGATATGAGAGAATGACAGTGCTCCGGGTGTTACCGAAATTCGTTAACTGCCTGAATCAAATAACATTATTAGGGCCTTAGGAAATTCTTTACTTAAGATAACAGATCGAAAGCTAAAAAAAAATTGGGTACTAACAACCAATAATCTAAGATTTTTTTATTTTCTTTTATTGCTTAGATGGGTGGACGAGCTCACAGGCCACCTGGTGTTAAGTGGTAACTGGAGCCCGTAGACATCTACGACGTAAATGCGCCACCCACCTTGAAATAAGTTCTCAAGTATAGTTACAACGGCTGCCCCACCCTTCAAACCGAAACGCATTACTGCTTCACGGCAGAAATAGGCAGGGTAGTGGTACCTACCCGCGCGGACTCACAAGAGGTCCTACCACCAGTAAGATGCATGAAACAATGTAAATGTGAGCTTTTACCTTCGAATGCGCTCGCATAGATTTTATGAATCAAGTCAAAAAGAAACGGCATTACTTTAGAGCGCTGCTTTATATGGCAGCACCCAAAATAACGTTTTCCATTCTTGTTATGTTCTTCTATTTGATACAAATACGTACAAATTTTGGACATTGAATCTAAGTTCAAATTACGTGGTCATGAACATATTCATGTGGGTGGTAAAAGCAAGTCTTTTCTAAATATACCCCTACTAGTAACCATACGTTTACAGTTTAATCACGAATTTTTTTCTTGTAATTAGGTATATTATTTCCGACGTTTCGAATACTTCAGTTTTCTTTTTTTTTTAAGTGGTCCGGAGGCCTTTTCAGTTTCACCAGGACAGGTCACAATTTTCCTGGTCACGGACGATAATAAAAACGAAAGATTAAACCTCAAAGGGTTTCTAATTACGTCTACGGCTCACGGAAACCAGAGAAAATACTATATACCCCTATTACCTGTCCAGGCGGCTGGCCGATCCTTCGGCTGGTCGTAGGACCGTCGAGGCGATTCGCCCAGCCTTTGTGGACCGGGTGAATCGTGACAGAGGACGCGTCACTTTCCGACTCACGCAGGTGCTCACTGGGCAAGGTTGCTTTGGTAAGTTCCTGCACCGGATCGGAGTCGAGCCGACGGCAGAGTACCACTATTGTGGTTGCGACTTGGACACGGCGGAGCACACGCTCGTCGCCTGCCCCGCATGGGAGGGGTGGCGCCGTGTCCTCGTCGCAAAAATAGGAAACGACTTGTCGTTGCCGAGTGTTGTGGCATCGATGCTCGGCGGCGACGAGTCGTGGGAGGCGATGCTCGACTTCTGCGAGTGCACCGTCTCGCAGAAGCGTCACCCTCTCCCTCGCGATGTCAAAAAAATACTAGAAAATAATTTTTCATTACGAGATGCTTAAAAATCTGTTTCAAGGTAGAAAGTTTTCGATATTTCGGAAAATTTTGTAAAACTGTAAATCCGTAAGATTTGGATGAACATATATTGTGTTGTAATAGTAGGTATTGACCCAAGCTCACCCTTGCAGTACCTATGTCGTGCTATTTACTGGACACCCTGTTTATTGCAATTTTTTCATGCCAGTAGCCCTAGTGGTTATGTAGAGCGACCGACTGAATGTTATAGATAATAGAAAACTATTCCTCGAGAATATAACTTTATCCTGATGAAAATTAGTCTAGGTCGTTTTGTATCTTTGTTAACTTGAATTCAAAGTCTCAAAATGATCGGTTGATTAAATAAGACGTGAAAGCGTTGCAGACAAATGAACATACTTCCGCATTTGTAATATTAAGTATGAATATTGTAACTCATAAATATAGAACCTAAATTACAAAGGAATGAGCTCAAAAATTTCAGCATTTGTTAATCTTCTGTACAAAGGAATGGGCACAAAAACATTTGTGAATCTTCTGAATTTTTTTATTTAATCCCTAACTTTGTACCGCTGTAAAATATTATACAACATTCTGCACAATAATGATATCAGTTATTGATAGGTTTTTTTTGTTTACTTAGTGCAGCATATACTTAACACAGACTACCTACCATTTTGAAGACCGTAATTTCCTGTTTCAAAGCAGGGTATACGACAGATTTTGTTGTATAAAGCTTTCAAAATTCCTCTGTTCATTCCATAAGCCGTCGTGCATATAAAACTTGCAAAGATAAGATAGGTACCTCATGCGCTAGATAATAAAAATGGCTATATCCAGTTTTAAATTAAGCGACAGCATCCACAATACGATGCACATGGATAACGAGCACCGCCAACCAACAAGTATACGTTTGTATAGTAACAATTTACTCTCTACTTACTTAATAACATGATTCTGTAATTCGTTTTGAGAAAAATGGGTTTATGGCAACATACGTCGGCAATATATTAAGCATACCAATGTCCTTGTGCATCACTTATAGCCTTTGATAAGCATATACTTAAGTCTAAATATTAATAACAGTAATTGTAAATTGAGACTTCGAACTCATGTTGAATTATCAAGTCATAAGGTAAGTATTCAAATTTGTCTAGTAGCTGCGGGAACACCCGGCGGACCGCGTGTTTATCTTGCAATCTAAAGCGATATAAAGAATCAATAAATGCATAATACCAAAAAATGCTTTTTAATATCCACTAAAAATATACTATTTGTCACGTCGCCACATCGACGTATCGTTTTAGGCTACTTTTTTTCAAGCTATGAAGCGCGCGCTTTTTTGAAAATAGGTAGGTACTTATACCAAATGGTATTCTGATTATGCCAGATGACGTCATGCGCGTTCCGCCATTTTGTTAGACGAGAAAATTATGGACTATGTACTATGAAGTAGATAGATAGGTACATGTAATTTAGATTTACATATAACTTCCAATTAAATACGACTAGATTTTGCAAATACACAGGTTCCAGAATTGAATGATTTTGTTATTTTGTGTAATAGGCTTTAGAAAATAAAAGGAAAATACGTTATTAGTTATAATGGTCTTTTATTTAAATAAAAAAAATACATTTTCAGGTTTCTGTTTTCTGTATAAGTACAGCATTACGAAATCAACACTAGCCCGTTTAACCAGAGATCAGAAAATATTCAACTGGTTTCCCAGTCTCGGTAGTCTATCGTGATTTCCGTAATTTGCGAGAAATTAGTACATATATTTTTATACTTCTCTATAACTAATCAAGGCTAACTTACTTATCTTAAGTGATTTACAAAGGAAATGGAAAGTCTACTTAGGCAAATTTACAATAAGTATAGAATCGTTTTATTACGATAATGTATCATGTGTTCTATTAAAGAGTGTAAATTAGTGATTTCTAATAATATAATAACAATATATGTATTAAAATAAATAACATTTAAAAACACAGTAATGAAATTAATGTAAATCCAGCAACTTTTATTAACAGGAAGGGTTGACAGATCTATAATAATTTAATAGCAATGGATTTGTGACATTTGAATCATCGCATTGCACGCTATTCTTAAATATTTTAAATGATGATAACAAGCTACAAGATACAATACGGTTATACTATTGATTATTGGTTTATGTAATTATTTTACACATTTCAATATACAACTTACATTTAAATTCACTTAATTTTTATTACAAACAAATCATTCACACTTATGTCTACATTTATCCCTCTAATATTACCGTCAACTTTCAAACATTTAACATTTTAAATACGGTCGGTACAGTTTAAATTTTATTTACAAAATACTGCTCCAATAAGCCACTGATAAAATGTGATTACTTCCTTTCCTCTCAAAGTCATCAGATTCATTAACACCTATGTTATTTACCCTTAGCAGTAATAGTTAGTGATGACTTTGCAGGCTGCGGTATGATTGTGATCTCATCACTAATTTTTAAAGGTTTAAGAAGTGATTCAGAGTCAGCAGGTTTGCTTGCAGGAGTAGTAGTCTTAGTCTTGTCCATAACACGTTTGGCTACGACGCTGTGAGCCGAATATACATGATTCTCAAACTGCTTATACATACCAAAAGTGGCAGTACACACCGTGCATTTGTACGATAAATGGGCTGGTTTCAGTGTCATGTTGTGATCCCTTGACACATGATTAAGGAGTTTCCACTGATACACTCTGCCACACACGGGACACCTACCTGCATCCTTACCCTTGTTTGCTGCTTCTTGCATTGAACTTGTTACCAAACCATGGGAACCAAGGAGGTGCCTCTCTAAGCCTTGATCTGTAAAAAACCTAAATTGACATTTTTGACAGTTCAATGGTGGCCTGTTATATATCATCTTAGGGTGTATTTTCACTTTGTGNAGTTTCCACTGATACACTCTGCCACACACGGGACACCTACCTGCATCCTTACCCTTGTTTGCTGCTTCTTGCATTGAACTTGTTACCAAACCATGGGAACCAAGGAGGTGCCTCTCTAAGCCTTGATCTGTAAAAAACCTAAATTGACATTTTTGACAGTTCAATGGTGGCCTGTTATATATCATCTTAGGGTGTATTTTCACTTTGTGTATCCACTGCATGTGGTTCCTTAGCTGCTCTAAGTCTTTAATATAACCATCACATATTTCGCAGATGACAAAAGTGGCTTTAGAATTGTGGGCTGATTGTGAGGAAGAAGGTTGTGGGGCTCGAGGTAAAGGAGTGATTGATATTTTAGGGGCTGCAGGTGCATTGCTTTGATTATTTACGATTGGATAGTTGGAGATTGTCGTTCCAGGTGGAGTATTATGCATAATCATGACACCGCTCCTTATTATTGGCATTCCTGACACAGCAGAAGGACGTGGTGGACCTGAAAGGGGAGGACGACCTCGCGGTCTTCCCAACATAGGCATATTAGGCAAGGCATTTGTAATGTTCAATTGAGGCCTGCCCATGTTATTCATATTAGGTCTATTATAATTTGATTGGTAAGAACTCATCATATTATTGCGTGCTCTGGTTAACTTTGGTATTTTTGCTGGGGGTTCCCATTCTAGGGGAGGTCCTAGGTTAAATTCTGGCTTGAATTTTTTAGCACAAGCAATCAAATGTCGAGCCAGTTTTGTTTTACTGTTGTCTTCAAAATGACAGTTAGCACATTGCTGGTATGCAGGAGCCCGTTCCAACCTGCCCCTAATATTGTGTTCTGCCTCCATATGGAACAATATATCATGAGGACTTCGTATTTCAAACTCACATGAATTACACTTGTATATGTTACTTCTCATGTGAGGTGCTTCAAGGTGATGAGCCATAACTAACATAGATTCAGTTTTAAAACTACAAAAATCACACCTTCTGTGTGAAAGAGCAAATGGTGCATTTGTTTTCTTGCTGAAATCTAAGTTCTGTGACAAAGATGCAATTGCAGCCTCCGTTGACTTGGTACTGCGTCCTGATTTCTTCTCTTTATAGAGCTTGCGCTGTTGTTGCTTTAATAAATCAGTTTGAACATACTCTTGCACTAAATTCAGTCCAATGTTAATAAAAAATTGTCCTAATGAACAATCAAAGTAACTGTCTGGCTTTCCACTTGAAAGGCTTTTGGCAATAAGGCTGATTGGGTCGGTGGTGTCACTGTCCTCTTTTTCTTTAATTACTACAGCATCATCATCACTGAGAGCTTCTTCCTCTGACTCAGAGGATGATTCACCGTCCCAAGAATCATCATCATCATCATCAGTGCGTTTCCGTCCTTGTTTTTTCTCTTTCTTTTGTGCAACTTCTAGTTTTCTGGACTCCTTAACCTCATCATCTTCCTCTATTTCTCCTCTTTCAATTCTTTCCTTCCTCTCTTTATCTCTCCTTTCCCTCTCAATCTTTTCCTTCTCTGCTTTTTCCTGTTCTTCTTTANATGATTCACCGTCCCAAGAATCATCATCATCATCATCAGTGCGTTTCCGTCCTTGTTTTTTCTCTTTCTTTTGTGCAACTTCTAGTTTTCTGGACTCCTTAACCTCATCATCTTCCTCTATTTCTCCTCTTTCAATTCTTTCCTTCCTCTCTTTATCTCTCCTTTCCCTCTCAATCTTTTCCTTCTCTGCTTTTTCCTGGTCTTCTTTAATTTTGAGTTCTTCAAGCTCTTTACCAAGCTTGTCCACAAATTCTCTAAAAGGCTTTAGAGAAGGTTTCTCATAAACATATGGAACAATGAAGGATGGTGCTTCAACAACAAACATATCATCTGTGAGAGATGGCAGTATGTTGGGAGGTGGAGCTGCAGGAGTACTATTATGAGCACTGTTCTGATTTGCAGTCTTATTACTAACTGGTGTGATAGTAGTGCCCCGAGCAGCAATGCTTTGGCACAAGTCCTGTTGATCCATCATACTAGTAGTAGTAGTTGTATGCATTTTGCTTTGCAACGGGAGAGGCCCTTTACCAGCAAGTATTGAATTTGTATCAATAATAACAACTGTAGGCTCTTTATTCTGATCCCCATTTGGTTTAGTTTGTTTAGAAGCTAAGTTGACCAAACACTTTGTATCATTTATCACAATAGGTTTGTTAATGCTTTGTGTTTGGTTTAATGGATCCTCCATAGCAATTTCTTCAATGTCAGACTCATCAGCACCATTCTCTTCTAAATGTTCAATGTCTTTCTTCTCTGTTTCCTTACTACTGTGTTGGGATCCATCTGAACTATCATTACTTACTGTACTTGAGTTGGAGGAATCATCTTCATTTGTTACACCCCCCTCTTCCTCATCATCATCACTAGTGATTTCATGAACTTCTGGTGCGGGAGAGCCTCCATTTTGATTTTGAGGCTCAGTCTCATTTTCAGAGTCACTACTGTCTTCTTTTGGGTGGCTTCCTTGTGAGGTGTCATCATCACCTTCTGTGCGTTCATCTGTAAATTGTAAATGCAACTAGTTATTTCAAACTGTTCTTTTCATCAATAAAAGCACTGAAGTTGTAGAATATACTACTGTAGTGTATATTGATTATTTATTAATGTAATACTCATTGACTACTAATATTTTAATTTAAGTAACAGTGTCAATTGTGTTATTTTGTTTGTTAATTTTTACCTAATTTAATACTTTGCAAGCAGTTTTGTTTATATCAAAGTAATTTAGTACTAATAAATTATTATTAGCACCTTCATGATTTCAAATAAATTAATGTAGAGAAGTTTGTAGTAGTGGTTACTTATTGTACTGTAATTAGGCCTTATCTTCCACTTAACTTAGAAAAACAAAACAAGAAATTTTAAAGTAATGTTTTGATTATTTTATCTAAAATTTTCTAAATACAAACTAATATTCGGGAATGAAAGTCAAAACAATATACGTAACAAAAACTTCGGTATATAAAAAGTCTATTTTTTTTTTCGAAGACACTAGAAATCTAGTAAAAACCGGACAATCATCGTAACCTAAACATCGTGAAAAAATAGCGAAAAATAATTGTTTCCCGCTACTCCTAAGAGCATATTGAGTAGGTCAAGCAAAAAAAATGTTTGATTTATTGAATAGCGTCATTATATCATGTGAAGTGTGGACCGCCATATGGGATTCCATGGCATTTCTACAAGAACACAACTCCACCAGGTTCGACGGTAAAGACTAAGCAATAGATTTAAAAAATTAAATGTGTTCATTTAGTACAGTAAGGTGCATACCTGTAGCAGTAGAAATCGACATTTTCTTTGGATTTTCCTATTAAAAATCGAAAAATAGCACAACAGTACAGTAGCGGAAACCAAACCAAATCAAGCTGTCATTTTGAAAGAAAGGTCTCTGGCGGAGTTTGGCGTGTTGCGTTCCGAAAAAAAATAGTTTACCGTTACATTTTACCCGAATTTATAATACTAATCTACTAATGTTAATATCCTTGTAGAATGTACCTACATCATAAAAAAAGACTTTTAAAAGAATTTGATTTCCAAAAATTAAGCAAAATATAACTTGATAACTTATGTTTGAAAACAATAGAAAGAGAAATATAGTAAAATTCAATGGTGAATAAATGATCGTTAGGACCGACACAGCGTATGTCTCATAGACTCATAGATATATTTTCGGTACATACCATAGATGTTTCCCACCTACACCCGATCCATCTCGGCTGCGGCTCAGCTAGTCAGAGCCCAATCGCAACATATATGAGAAAAAGTAAAACGCGCCATATTTAAAACGCTAAATTTCCGGACAAATCTCAGTCTACACTTCAGTCGATTGTACCAGCTGTTTCCAAATCTATTCGGCGACGATTCCTATTCCAAAGCATTAGTAATTGCGATTGCAAAATTTATGTTACTATTTTTAGTAACGCAATGCATTCAATTGAAAATTTGCTGCCTTCGCTCTAATTGCGCGTATTTACGCTATAATAACTTGCTTGTAGCCAAGTGGTAATTTAGACTTAACACCACGTAAACCCACACGGTCGTTCACACATCTACTCTATGAAAAATGCTATTTAAGAAATAAAGTCATTAAACTATGATTCGTTCATAACTTTATTTTATCAAATAATTTTACAAGCATACTTAGGCGTCTCAACATTTTATTTTTACTTTTTTGGTCGGTAGGCTCGTGGGGCTATTCTTTCTTCTTCAGGCTGCTAGGCGAACTCATGGGGCTCAGCCTGAGAGAAGCTGCCAACAACTGCTATAGCCAGAGCAGTGCTTTATTTAATCTACCACCGGATCGGAACCGCAACTCACTTGAGAAGATCCGGCGAGAAATCCAGTGGGTAACATTAACAAGTAAGTTTGTGTAGTTCTGGTCACACGAGTTATATATTTCGATCATGGAAGGGATCTCTTTTAATTTTAAGAGTAATATAGATGAAATAAATGAGGTTTCGACTTCATATCTCAAAGTGTGACTTATTTCTAACGAAAAGAACTCAATCTAATATTGTGGGTAAATTTCGGTGCTCGTTTGGCAACTAACCTGTGATGGTAAAATATGCCATTAATAAAAAATATATTTAAAAATTATAAATACAAATTACAAATTCTATGCAAACAATTTTTTAACTAAATAATGTATGTATATTACTTTCAATATGTTAACAAAACAATCCTACAATATTATTTATTTCTTTCAAAATTTATTTGGGAATTTCTTAAAAACACCAATCATTATGCCTCAGGCTTTCTTATGACTCCTAAGTCCTCAGCTGCATTTAAACATTTTTGAGCATATTCATTGGCTCTGATGTGTGCTTCATCATTTAATTTAGACAGTGCCATTAATATTTCCATTATATCAGTCTCAAATACTTTTGCAGCAAAATCTTTGTCATCTTTTATTATATTGTACAACATATAGGTTCCTCTGTATTGTATTTCTGAGTTTGGATTTGCTAGAAGACACCTTAGTGTTTCAGGCCATTGCTCGACATCTAGTAATTTTCGACAGCAAACTTTACTAACTGAAGTCAATATACACAAAGCACCTGCTGCAGCGGTGACTGTATCCTCATCTTCTTCTTGGCACAGTAGGAATAAGAATTTGGTTTTGTCATTTTTTCCTTCATATGATTTGACAACTTCTTCAGACTGAAGTAAGTTACAAATACACTGTGTGGCTGCTCTAATAAGCATCATATGGTCTTCATATAGGTAATGCTCAATCTTAGATAAACCTCCCTCTTTGATTATTCTATTTCTGGTTGTCTCATTCATTCCAGCTAAATTGCACAAAGCCATTAATGCTTCAAAGTTTTCCAAGGCTGTACAATCTGGATGTAATAATGCCAGTAAAGGTCTAATGACTTCCAAATTTCTTTGACCAGGGAATGCCACCTCTGGATTTATTGTTATCCCAATTCTGGCTAANTCAATCTTAGATAAACCTCCCTCTTTGATTATTCTATTTCTGGTTGTCTCATTCATTCCAGCTAAATTGCACAAAGCCATTAATGCTTCAAAGTTTTCCAAGGCTGTACAATCTGGATGTAATAATGCCAGTAAAGGTCTAATGACTTCCAAATTTCTTTGACCAGGGAATGCCACCTCTGGATTTATTGTTATCCCAATTCTGGCTAAAGCCTGAGCAGCTTGTTTTTTTCCATTTTGAGTACCCTCAAGAGACATTGGTATTAGAACTTTTGCTCCACCTTGTTGTACAACTAGGCCTCTCAATTCTTGCAAATTACAAATAGCATTGAATACTCTAGCTATGAGTTCTCTTGAGTTGTGACTCTCCGTTTTAGCCAATGCTACCAAGCCACTGGTTACACCAGCTTTTGTCAATACTGATATTCTCTTGCTTACAAAATCAGGATCATCCAATTCATGCTGTTCGGGTACATGATGCTTAGCAAACTTGGCTAGTTCTAACATTTCAGGCATCATTTCCTGCTTTTCATATGCATTACACAAGTTAACTATAGTGGTTACAACACCATATAGGCATGACTGATCACCAGTTTTAGCCAACTCAATCAGAGCTTGAATAGCTGGCTTATCTTCAACTAGTTTCTCCTTAACATCTGCATCTAAGGTTAGATATGAGAGACCTTCAGCAGCCCACTTTCTCACGTCATTATCTTTAGATGGATTTACCAAAAATTTTCTACAGGCTTCTGCTAGTTTTTTTGTGGAACCTTCCGCGAATGGGCGTATAGAAGCATCATCACCACCAAAACTGCCAATTTTACATAAGCCTACTAAGGCTCTTACCCTGACTGCATCATTTTTGCACTGGTAAAGTTTTTTCAAGATATCAACACCTTTAGTAAGTATGGCTCTGGCTTTGTCTTTCTTGGATGCAGCTGCTATCAAACATTCACAGGCGACTTTTTGCTGCAGTAGGTCATCAGTTTGAGCCATAACAAGAATCATTTCTATAATACCATCTTTAGATATAACATAGTTGCCAACATCTAATGGGCCTCTAAGTAGAGAAGTGATGGCTACAGTTACTCTAACTTTTGATTCCAGATCAGGACTGAGCAGTTTGTCTTTAACAAATTCATCTACCTGCTCATTAAATTTCTCTCTCGCCTGGTCATAGTACATGTTTTCATATATTCTTGCTAAACAAGCTGCTGCTATGGTTCTTGAGGATGCTGTGATATTCATGGCAGATTCATATTTATATTCATCCAGTTCACTGCAAACTTCTAATAATCTGTGCAGCCCTTTGATTTCAACAAATCTTTCTGACCAATTGATTGCACTGTAGTGGCAATTCCTCATGATTAGTTCAATGAGAGCATCTCTAGCCTGTCCACTGATAACCCTGTTGGTGATGCAATAGGTGATACAGGTGAGTAGAGTATCTATTTCACTTTTGTTTTCCTCACAAAGTTTAGGGTCAGGTTTTGATTCCTGTTTATTGTCCATCCCTGAAAATGAGTTAAGTATGATCTGAAGGCAATACTGAGCCGCATTAACTCTCTTCTCATCGGTGCTATCAATAATTTCTAAAATCCACGGTATCCCAACAACTTTCAGAACCGCTCTTGTTCTTTCAATGTTCTTTTTGCAAATTTGACCTATGACACGGATAGCATTGATGTAAATTTCAGAATTTTTTTCCACTTTTAGTAGTTGTTGAATTCTTTGAACTACACCATTTTTTAACATTACCTCAGCACCACTATTTTCTTTCGCTAAAACTAATAGGTTGGCCATGGCCTTCTCACGTTTTTCAATATCTTCACCTAACCCAAAAGCCAACTTAAACATTTGTTCCACTTTATTGCTTGTTTGAGCATTTTGGCGAGCTCGCTCTTGTACTACAGTGTGTAGACGTGATAGAATAGGTTGGACAGCTTTGTTAGTTGGGTCCACAGTAAATATTGTTTTGGCATCTCTGTAGGCTTCTTCAAATCTCTCCAAACATTCAAAAGCTTGCGATCTCCGGAACAAGGCTTTCGGATCTTCTGGTATTATTTCTAGAGCTTTATCACAGTCACTGATCACTTTTTCGAATTCTTTGGTCTTTAAGTAGGCTGCGGCCCGATTTTTTAAATATGTTGCAAGGTCTCGGCTGCCTTTTTCGGCCAAATTTATCGCCTTAGTGTAAAAAGTGATTGCCTCCTGATAGTTTTCAGATTTAAAAGCATCGTTTCCTTTATTTTTGTAAGACTCTGCTTCCTCTTGAACAACCATCGTGTAGTCCGTTTATCTGCGAAGCCAATTTCTGTTTTATTCNAAGTAGGCTGCGGCCCGATTTTTTAAATATGTTGCAAGGTCTCGGCTGCCTTTTTCGGCCAAATTTATCGCCTTAGTGTAAAAAGTGATTGCCTCCTGATAGTTTTCAGATTTAAAAGCATCGTTTCCTTTATTTTTGTAAGACTCTGCTTCCTCTTGAACAACCATCGTGTAGTCCGTTTATCTGCGAAGCCAATTTCTGTTTTATTCTTCACAGTTCTTTTACAGCCTGCTTAATGTAAATGAAGATTATTCTGGTAAAATCTGGTGGTTTCATTTCAAGACGAACTAAAATAGAATTTTATTTTTGTCCCAATGTGTAAACTAGGGATGTCGATCTGAGATTCTTTTTTAGAGATATTTTTTACTGATGAAAAACTTCGATTTTTTTAATCGATTTTAGCCGATGAATCGTTCTTGATTGTGCAGTTCTGATCTTATACCTAACTGTGTCCTTACTAACTAATCACCATATTCCAAACCATTGCATGCGTTGGGAAAGATTCATATACATGGAATTTGCGTTCATTGTGAGTCGAAGAAAACAAATGCTGTAGGGCGTAATTTTTAAGTACAAGAGGATGAGCTTTCTTTATCGCATCGAGGCCAATAATGAAAAATAGATTCAATACATACAGCAACCTATAGAAAAAAAAATTTTTAGGACTGCCCGATCATGAATCTACGCTATCATGTCGGCCGAATATTCATACTACGAAGGTTCTGCTTGTGTTTTTTTTTAGATTTTTTGGGGGATTTAATAGGACCCGGTCGGCGTTATTTAGAGCTGTTGGAATGGCAAGAAATGGGGAATGCTATCGAACTGAATTAATGAGATTAAACTGAGCACGGTGCGAAAAACGGCAACACTTACCGGTGATGGGACCTCTTGTGAGTCCGCACGGGTAGGTACCATCACCCTGCCTATTTCTGCCGTGAAGCAGTGATGCGTTTCGGTTTGAAGGGTAGGGCAGCCGTTGTAACTATACTTAGAACTTATATCTCAAGATGGGTGACGCGTTTACGTTGTAGATGTCTTTGGGCTCCAGTAACCACTTAACACCAGGTGGGCTGTGAGCTCGTCCACCCATCTAAGCAATAAAAAAGCGAACTTTTAAAAACAGCTTCGTCATCATCGAGTTTTAGAATCATATAAACTCGATATTTATAAATTTTGGTTAGACAGTAAAATTTGAGGGGACTGTGTCCTGTAGATGAGGGGCTATTTAAAAACACTCTGCTTCATGATTAATATAATTACATTGCAAATACTTTGAACACTATTACACCATTATAATATTTTATCTATACAAAACTCTTAGATGTTGCTCTGACCGTGTCTAGATGAGAAGTCGTTGTCTTCACTGACGAGAAGACAATCGTTTGATTTAAACATTTAAAAGCATTCCAATATTCGAAATCTGTAATCTTACATGTGTCAAGTGTTGCCTGCCATTACTTCCTTAATCAAACTCTAATGCCGGCCACTGACATGCGCGCAAATATTCGTACATTGTACGTATGTTTGCGCGCCGAAGTTGCGAATGTTGCGTGAAGGGCCGTCAAACATTCATTCGCAAATATAGCAGCTGTGCAAATGGGTTCGGTACTCAATTTGCGAACCCGTTTGCGCTTCCTCCCACACTTGTTTACGAATGTCTCACGAATTTCTCCTCCTTTTTAATTCGTCAATAGAACATTGAAGAGAAAAAGAGTTTTTAATTCTTTCCCAGACATCATTAACAGCCATGCTGTTTTTATGGGATTTCTTTTGATGAAGATACGCTACACAGTAGACGTCACGAACTATGAAAATGGCGTATAGTATACGTCCGTTACCTTCGCAATCGTCGGCGCAACTGGGCAAGCGAATGTGTGGGAGACTACGCGAAGGTTCGAGGTTCGCGCGCTTTGATGTCTGTTAAAAAACCGACACAGCTTGGAAAACCACGAATGCAGCGAAAACTTTGCATAATCATTCGCAAATGTCGTCCTACACTTGTGGGTTTGCGTATTCATGCGCATGTGAGTGACCGGTGTGACAATTTTAATGGAAACTAGCACGTAGGATCTCTATGTAGTCAACGTCAATTGTAGTCTGTGAAATTTATAATCTATGGTAAAATCTGTGATCCATTTTTGATATCGGCTTGTACGAAAGAGTTTCCTCGTGATTAATTGAAACTGAAAACGTATTAAACGAAATGGCTGCCATTAGTTTATTAAATCCTAAAGCCGAGTTCGCTCGTGCTGCACAGGCACTTGCTGTAAATATATCCGCAGCTAAAGGAATTCAAGATGTAATGAAAACTAACCTTGGTCCGAAAGGCACGATGAAAATGTAAGTTGTAGAGCTATTTACGTTTAAAACTATTAATGTAATTTGTAGAACATAATATTTTCGGCCTTTGACATCATATCCAACTAAAACATTTTTTCACAACTAAGTAATTACAGGTATATACACCTTTCAAAATTCACATGCTTGAGGCGCTACACATACTAAAGATTGGTTAACACCTACATGCTTTACTTTAAAAAACACTAAGCCTGAGCGATTACGATTCCGTCTAAACAAATCTTATGATTTCGAACAATACCAGAGAAGCATATCACGTATTCATAAAAAGCGATCCACCGCCACCCCCTCCTCATCAACATCATTTATTTCATAAAACCAAACATGTACCAGAGTTAACTCGTAACGGGTGAACGAACAATGATTATTTCGATAGTGCACTATTCTTTGTATAATATAGATTAAATAAAATCAAATTTTGGTGTTTCAAATAACTTTAAATCTTAATCATCTACATAGATCTTTTTATCTTCTATTTTTTTTGAGTTATTCAATGACAAAACTAAACAAAAAAAAAGTTTACTGCCACAGTTTATCCAAAGTTATTAAAAGAGATTGGTACACGTTTAAACTGGCAAAAAACAAAAAAAAAATATTTAAAAGAAAACTTGAAGTTCTATTAACTCCAGTACAATACGTTAGACTGTTACAATTTGTAATAAATAAAAACATTAAAAACTTTCGGAAAACAATATTTCTATTTCAATACAGTAGCACTGAAAGCGTTTTTTGTTGGCTTTATGCAGTTATCCATAGTTTGTTCCCTAACGACATAGGCTCTGCTGCAGAACTATGATTAACTTAATATGCTATGGAGTTGTCAATTGCTATCTGTAATTAAAACATACACAGTCTCTGTATTGTTAGAATTAAGCCGTTTTAAGCCATACATCCTATTTTATTTGTCTTTTATTAAAGTATCCTGAAGTTTGTTAGTATATAGGCCATTAGTTGCAAATACACATTTCATAGATTAGGTATCAATGAAGTTAAACTTTTAAGTTATAATTTGTTAGCTTCCAATGGAATACTAGAAAACCACTTGTATGGATAATCATTGTGGTCTAAAGGATAAGATGTCTGATGCATTTTTATGTAGAGATTGCAGCAGTGTTTGAATCCCTAAATCCCGAATACAAATTTTTCTAATGAAATACATACTTAACAGTTGTTCACGATTGACTTCCAAGGTGAAGGAATAACATAGTGTAATAAAAATCAAACCTCAAAATTTATAATTTGCATAATGACTAGTGGTAGGATGTCTTGTGAGTCTGCACGGGTAGGTACCACCTTGTCTATTTCTACGGTGAAGCAGTAATGCATTTCGTTTCGAAGGGTGGGGCAGCTGTTGGATCTCAAGGTGGGTAAGAGCACTTACATTGTAGATGTCTATGGGCTCCAGTAACTACTTAACACCAGGTGGACCATGAGCTTAAGCAACCTCCACCCAATTAAGCAACAACAACAAAAACTTGCCACCTTTCCAGCTCTAGCTCTTTAACATTCTAATATTCCAATAACTTCAAAATGCTTGCCTCCATAATAATTGTCACATTCTTTTCTAAACAACATAATATTATAATATTATTAATGGTTTTCATTTAGAGAAATCAAAATTGTGTAACATTTTGTTAATAATGCAATGACTATTTAAATTACTTCCAGGTTGGTTTCTGGTGCTGGGGACATAAAGATCACCAAGGATGGCAATGTTTTGTTACATGAGATGCAAATCCAGCACCCTACAGCCTCACTGATTGCTCGAGCGTCAACCGCTCAAGATGATGCCACTGGAGATGGTACAACATCTACTGTCCTCCTCATTGGAGAGCTACTTAAACAGGCCGACATATTCATCAGTGAAGGTTGTTATATATATTTTGTATTTAACTTTATATTTCCTTTTTTTATTTTTTATTGCTTAGATGGGCGGACGAGCCCTCACCCACCTGGTGTTGAGTGGTTACTGGAGCCCATAGACATCTACGACGTAAATGCGCCACCCACCTTGAGATATCGGTTCTAAGGTCTCAGTATAGTTACAACGGCTACCCCGCCCTTCAAACCGAAACGGATTACTGCTTCACAGCAGAAATAGGCAGGGTGGTGGTACCTACCCGCGCGGACTCACAAGAGGTCCACCAGTAAAAATTCCTGCAGATTACTGACCATTCCAATGAAGCACAGCTGTAGAATGTCAGCTTACCAGCATTGGCCTGTTTATCAGTTTTTTATCTAAATGTCGGAGAAACCGCATTATTAAAAACATCGTCAGACGAAGGGGGCGAATAGGACGATCGAGTTAAGAGAAATATTAAGTACACAAATCACGTTTGTGATCTTAGAACAATTCAGAAATCTTCTCTTGACGTTAGCAAACGAAAACGAATGGCAGCTCTTAAGTTGGAGGCACTGCCTAAGAAGCCGGTTTGTAAATGCGTCTATGTGCGCTCCATTGGCTAGGCTCTGTTGTAGCACAAAGTTAACCGAGTTCTGAAGGGAATCGTGATAGTGCTGTGCTTTGTTTTGCTACCAGACTAATGACCATCTCTGACATATATAATAACCTACATTCCTGCACTTTACTTGATCATTGATAATAGTTTTCAAAGTGTGTACTACGCCTGCATTATTGTTAATGTTGAAGATCGACCATATCTGCTTTCGGTTTGGTGGACTAGCAATTACAAAGGTATTTAAGGCAAATGGATATTTAATACTCTTTTCGGTTAATATGATTGGAAAATATGATTAAGACCTATGAGTGTGCTGTTATCATGTGTTATGTGTTTATTTTCAAATGAGGTTCTGGCAATTTGACGACACACATCGAATTCTTTACAAAAGTAAAATATATTATTACTTCTTCGATTTTATCATCTTAATCTGCACTCATATACCGCAAGAATATGTAACTAGTTCCATACCTCACCTCGGCATTATGAAATTTATAGATAGTCCTGATCTGTGGAAGTTAATGTATAAGACAAACATAGGCTATGAGAATCTCCTTATTTTATTGAGTTAGTTGGCTAACCATCTTATCAACAAACCTATCTTGTTCAATCTACATTTCCTCATTTATAAATTTCGTTCTATGGTAAGAATTACTGCTGATAGGATATATTGTAAGCCTGCATGGGTAGGTATCACCAACCGGCATATTGCTGCCATGGAGCCATAATGCGTTTCAGTTTGAAAGATGGAGCAGCCATTATACTACAAACTGTCATTAAAACCTAAGAGGACCAAGAAAGGTGATAAATAAAAAGTAAAGGATAAAGGCACAGGAAATCAAGCAGATTTTGAAATAAATTCATGTAACATATAAAATGGTTCTGTGTAAGAGTCACATTTTATTGTCTGAATCTAGTTGAGATTTAGTAAAATATCCATTCCAGACGTATTTTTTGCTGCTTTCCCAGTAGTAGCATTTTCTTTTTGACCGATCACATCTAATAAGGTACATTTTCTAATTTACAGGCTTACATCCTAGGATCATTACTGAAGGCTTTGACATAGCTCGCAACAAGTCATTAGAAGTCTTGGAATCTATGAAGATTCCAATTGAGATTGCACGTGAGAATTTAGTTGATGTTGCCCGTACTTCACTCAAAACTAAGGTGCATTCACTATATTAATTACTAGCTTTTGTCCGTTGCTCTGTTCGTGTAGATTACTCCATGTGTTGAGAGTGTTAAATAGCGGTTAAAAACATAAGCCCTTGCTGAATCATATGTGCATTCTTATGCTATAATTAGTTAGGGCCATAAAAATTTAAATAAATATCTACTTCAAAACCTTAAATATTATTCCACAATTAGCACACATCAGGGATGAAAACGTGCCAGCAAATGCTGGAGCAGAAGTTTCATTAAAACTATTATATAATTTCATCAAAACCTAACTATATTTAATTTATACTATATAATATAGTTATACATTAAACTTGTTGTATTGAGTCTTTGGCTTAGGAGTTGTAAAAGATTTCTTAAGAGTGAGTCTCTACTAAGATACTGTTCAAATATTTCTTTTGGTTTTCAGTAATTTTATCCATTGAGGAGTCAGTTCTTCTTGAGATATTCTGTAAATTATTATTATCATTACATAGACTGGTGAGTGTGTGTGGCCCATTTGTTGTTAAGTGGTTACTAAAGTCGATAGTAACTTGATGGACTGACCAAATTAAAACTTCAGTGGGAAGTCCCCTAAATTAGTGCAGCAGAATGACCTCAAGCAGGGAGAAATGGCAAGACATTGTGAGAAGCATCAAGTCTACCCCCTCCAACACCACATGACGATCACTACCACCCTGTCAAGAGTGACAAGATTGAGAAGAAGCAGTTTATAGACAGCAAAATGTAAATGTCGCCTGTCGTTAGATATACTAACTTGACTTGGCATTGGTTATATATAGTAACCATCTTTGCCATCTCCAACATGTTAACAAAATACGATAAATGATATTATTATACTTTTAAAGCTGTCAATTTTATATGTCATTATATGTCATAGTAGGTATATAAAATTTATTGGTTTCTCAGGTCCACCCAAGCCTGGCAGATGTGCTAACTGATGCTTGCGTTGATGCGGTACTCACCATTCGAACTCCAGGCAAACCTGTTGATCTGCACATGGTTGAAATTATGGAGATGAAACACAAGACGGCTACTGAAACTGTACTTGTAAAAGGTAAGTAGCCCTAAAGCCTTGTTCAGACTAGGCGAGTATTTTAGTCAGTACTGAGTAATTTGGTGGCTAAGCTACTCGCTACTACATAGAAATCGTTCGCATTATGGTCCAGTAGAGTACACAAGTGAGTGGTGTTTTGCAAGATGAACAGGCTGCAACGCAATAGAGTGAATAAACTGATTAAGCTAATCGTAATGGCTATTTTAGAAGAGGTGGATGAGGAAATTTCTGTGATTAAGAAAAATAAGTTATGGGTACGAAAATGGATCGATAGAAGAGATAAACTAGGAGCTATTAAAGAATTAGGAATTGGAAGAGATCCCAAAGAATACTTCGATAGTTTGAGAATGTCTGAAAATTGTGTGAATTTTCTGTTAACGAAAATACACTCTCAAATTCAGCGCAAAGATACCCATTTGAGAAGTGCCACTAATGAACTCGACTAATCAACAGGTTCGGACTTGTTTAGTCAGTGAGCCAGTGAGCAAGGACGCGTGGTGGAAGGCGCTACTCGCCCGAAAAAATACAACAAAATGGATTGACTTGACTAAATTATTTACTAACCTACTCAACTAATTTTTTTGGTGTTCAGACATATTTAGCTACTAAATTACTCAGTACTCGACTAAAATACTCGCCTAGTCCGAACAAGACTTAAGTGTATGTTTATACTAGTGGTTCTTTTATGTAATAAAACTCGGTTTCGTCATATAGACAAACAACACTTACCTTACTGATCATATTGAATTCATTCATTTTCAGGTCTAGTAATGGATCATGGTGCACGTCACCCAGATATGCCAAAGCGTGTAGAAAATGCATACATTCTCACATGTAATGTGTCATTAGAGTATGAAAAGACAGAAGTAAATTCTGGCTTCTTCTACAAGTCTGCTGAGGATAGAGAAAAGCTTGTTGCTGCTGAAAGGGAATTTATTGATCAAAGAGTAAGAAAGGTGAGTGATTAATAATAATTATATTTGGTAGTAAATTTTTTGGTTAATGTGAACTTAAAACATTACCTCAAAGCTATAGTTGTATTACAAAAAACAGTTCAGATTGGAACATGACGATGGTTTTGAGGCAAAACAACAATAGTCTACCTGCTACTATTATTTGAGATAGAAATAGTAAAATAAATATAAGAATATACTTAATGTAAGCATAAACCACTATGAACAAATCATCAGGACGTAATAGTAAATCTGAAGGAGATCTTAGTTACAAACCAATCTATACTTCTATACTAATATTATAAAGAGGAAAGATTTGTTTGTTTGTTTTTATCAAATAGGCTCCGAAACTACTGAATCGAATTGAAAAATTCTTTCACTGTTTGGAAGCTACTCTATTCCCGAGTGATATAGGCATAATTTTTTTTGAAAAAAATTAGGTATTCTTACTAAAACTCCAATAATGTAACCCAAGGTCTAAAGAAAATTAGCTAAAATATTCTTTACATCGCGTGCCCTGCGAAAACTATTGATGATAGGATAAAATAAAATAGGATAAATACTACGACTTTGTAGAACCTATGTATTATTATTTACAAAAAGTGTCGCGACAGCATAATATGTTTATAGTTATGCCCTTCGATCAATAATAGTACTAGATTAAGGATCAGGAACAAAAATAAGACGCTCCAGTGGCCACGTTTGCAGACACGAAAACATCTTCATTTCTTAGAAAAAAGTTTAATAATGTTAACGACTTCAGTTTATTATAAACCTTAATACTTAAACATAAAGTTTAATTACCATTGCAAAATATATGTATTTAGGTCCTTTCGTNATAAGAATTTATCGTACTACAATTATATTAATTGATTGCCATCTTGCAACCTTATTGCGGATCTGTGCATAGAATAAAAAAAATAAAAATCGGGATGGAAAAATAGGGGTTGATCGTATAAGAGTGAAAATTGAGAGTAATATATATTTTTTTTATTTTAAGTCATGACAAAATAAAAAATAAAATCTTACCAAAAAATTTAAAATGTATAATTAACAAATAAAAAATAGGGGTTGATCGTAGAGGGGTGAAAATTTCAGAGCAATATGAATTTTTTTATTCTAAGTCATGACAAAATAAAAACAAAAATCTTGCAAAAAATTTAGTTTTTAATTAGCAAATAAAAAATAAGGGTTAATTATAGAGGGGTGAAAATTTAGGGTTGTATGTATTTTTGTATGCTGTATCATAAAAAAATAGAAATTAAAAATTTTGTCTAAATATTAAAAAAAAAAATTTAGGGGTGGACTACCCCTAACATTTAGGGGGATGAAAAATAAATGTTGGCCGATTCTCATAGATACCGGATAAGCACAAAAAATTTCATCAAAATCGGTCAAGCCGTTTCGGAGGAGTATGGCAACGAAAACTGTGACACGAGAATTTTATATATTAGATTATATGTCATAGTAGGTATATAAAATTTATTGGTTTCTCAGGTCCACCCAAGCCTTGCAGATGTGCTAACTGATGCTTGCGTTGATGCGGTACTCACCATTCGAACTCCAGGCAAACCTGTTGATCTGCACATGGTTGAAATTATGGAGATGAAACACAAGACGGCTACTGAAACTGTACTTGTAAAAGGTAAGCAGCCCTAAGTGTACGTTTATAGTTTATACCAGTGGCTCTTTTATCTAATAAAAACTCGGTTTCGTCATATAGACAAACAACACTTACCTTACTGATCATATTGAATTCATTCATTTTCAGGTCTAGTAATGGATCATGGTGCACGTCACCCAGATATGCCAAAGCGTGTAGAAAATGCATACATTCTCACATGTAATGTGTCATTAGAGTATGAAAAGACAGAAGTAAATTCTGGCTTCTTCTACAAGTCTGCTGAGGATAGAGAAAAGCTTGTTGCTGCTGAAAGGGAATTTATTGATCAAAGAGTAAGAAAGGTGAGTGATTAATAATAATTATATTTGGTAGTAAATTTTTTGGTTAATGTGAACTTAAAACATTACCTCAAAGCTATAGTTGTATTAGAAAAAACAGTTCAGATTGGAACATGACGATGGTTTTGAGGCAAAACAACAATAGTCTACCTGCTACTATTATTTGAGATAGAAATAGTGAAATATATATAAGAATATAATGTAAGCAAAAACCACTATAAACAAATCATCAGGACGTAATAAGTAAATTTGAAGGAGACCTTAGTTACAAACCAATCTATACTTCTATACTAATATTATAAAGAGGAAAGATTTGTTTGTTTGTATTGAATAGACTCCGAAACTACTGAACCGAATTGAAAAATTCTTTCACTGTTTGGAAGCTACTCTATTCCCGAGTGATATAGGCATAATTTTTTTTGAAAAAAATTAGGTATTCTTACTAAAACTCCAATAATGTAACCCAAGGTCTAAAGAAAATTAGCTAAAATATTCTTTACATCGCGTGCCCTGCGAAAACTATTGATGATAGAATAAAATAATGTACTACGACTTTGTAGAACACACTATTATTTACAAAAAGTGTCCCAAAAGATGATAGGATAAAATAAAATAGGATAAATAATACGACTTTGTAGAACCTATGTATTATTATTTACAAAAAGTGTCGCGACAGCATATGTCTTAGTATTATAGTTATGCCGCAATAAGAGTTCTTTTATTTCAAAAAAAATAAAACTACGTCAAATGAGTCGACTATTATCAAAGCCGGCAATGTGACTTTTGGACAATTATTGGTAAATCAGAAAAACGAATTATTGACTTTGTATTCCATTGGCAGTCAGAAAACTCTTCTGAACGACATCTTAGATAAATAACAGGTTAACTATTAACCTTTATTTAATGCAGGTTTTGAACCGTATTCTTTGAAGGAGACGATTATATTCAAATCAATCTGTATTGACATATCAATAACATTTTTTTGTCCAAATGCACAGATTGCCATCTTTGATAATAGACGACTCAAATATCGTTCAAATTTATTAAAGACCCGCGCGGAGCTGGAGCAGGCCGCTTGTATTTTATATAGGTACACAATAACTTCAATTGATTGAATTGTAAAAATAATTTGGCAAATTGTTTTTGTTTAGATCGTTGCTATCAAAAAGAAATTATGCGACGGTACTGACAAGACTTTCGTCGTTATCAACCAAAAAGGAATCGACCCCTTGTCACTGGATGCTTTTGCCAAAGAAGGTATTATTGGACTACGCAGAGCAAAACGGCGCAATATGGAACGTCTAGCCCTAGCGTGCGGGGGGTCCGCTGTTAACTCCGTCGATGATCTTACTGAAGACGCTTTAGGCTTTGCAGGCCTAGTCTACGAACACGTGCTCGGAGAAGACAAATTTACGTTTGTTGAACAATGCAAGAATCCACAATCTGTTACCATCCTCATCAAGGGACCCAACAAGCATACCTTGACACAAATCAAAGATGCAGTTCGTGACGGCCTCCGCGCTATTAATAACGCCATTGAAGATAAATGCGTCATACCCGGTGCTGCGGCCTTCGAAATCAAAGCTAACACGGAACTGCTGAAATATAAGGACACTGTTAAAGGCAAGGCCCGTCTTGGAATCCAAGCTTATGCCGAAGCTCTTTTGGTTATTCCTAAAACTCTGGCCGTTAACTCTGGTTACGATGCTCAAGATACTATAGTAAAGTTGCAGGAAGAGTCACGCCTTAATCCTGAGCCTATTGGCTTAGATTTGAGTACAGGTGAAGCATTCAAACCTACAGACTTAGGTATTTTGGACAACTATATCGTGAAGAAACAAATATTGAATTCCTGTTCAGTGATCGCAAGCAACCTCCTCCTTGTAGACGAGATTATGAGAGCAGGAATGAGCAGCCTCAAAGGATAATAATAAACAAATGTTTTATTTTGAGGTCATTCGAGTTTCTGCTATTACTTTCACTCATTTATCATTTTGCTTTCAACTGTAACTGCATTTTTATGTAGAATAGCCTTATTACAATCTACGCTAATTTCGCATTTCTGATTACAAGTGGAATCAGAGCATTTACTAATAATTAACTAAATAAATAATTTCCACTACTAAGATTGTTTTTTCTTGGATAATAAAAGCCCACGTATTTGTTGAATTTTATTGAGACGACATAAATGCATATTACCAATTTAAGTGTTACATATATTTGTATGTCATGATACCTTGAATTTCAAACAAAGGATGACATCCACTGTATTTTTAAATTACAAAAAACGACAATGAACCTAAATCGATAGTTTAAGACATTTCCATGAAGATTCTACAGAAAACTTGAAATTCTCTTGAAATTCAGCGAGTATTTTTTTTAACATAACCACTTAAAATATGGTAAATAATATAGGATAATGAAACCCGGAACGTTTCAGCAAATCGTGATAGAAATATTGGATAAGAGCCGTGTGTGATGCAAACACTCCGGGCGTTACGCAAAAACCCAATCTATGGTTATTTGTAACATTTTTGTAGATAGTTCTCTCATATTTTGGAAATAAATAAAAGTTAACGTGGCAGTCAGTCGTACGTCATTTATAAATGAGCTGCTACCTACGTCTATGAATAGATTCGTAATGCGGATGGTGTTAAGCTGGAAGTAACCAATCAAAATCTGGGTAGTAAATTTTATATGTTCGTCGAGTATGTATTCTGTTTAGGCACCGTCAAGACGGGCCCTCCTAGCAGCACTGAAACAACGCGGAAAACACACGCGAGTCACGTAGGAACGCGCGGTGCGGGCGCGGTAGACGTAGCGAGTTCGTATTTACATTGGCCGCCAGGCGTTTGCGCGAGTTTGATTGTTTTCAGAGATTGGAAACTTGGACGACGATCTTTTATTTTTAACCGAAAATTCATACCCAAAGTGGGAGTTGGTAACAATTAGAACCGATGTGCATGAAATTAATAAAGAAAGAGAACGGTATGGTGAATTTCATACTTTATTCATATTTTTTCTATATTGAAAGACATCATATCGTTTCCAGCGACAAGTTCATACTGGTTGATTGAACAAACCTGACGTCGCGATTAAGCCCACTGAATTTCTCCCCGGAAACTCTCAGTGGGTCGCGTTTCCGATCCGGTGGTAGATTCTGCGAAGCACTGCTCTTGCTAGGGTCAGTGTTAGCAACTCTCCGGTTTGAGCCCCGTGAGCTCACCTACAAACGTTACGGTGAAGCTGAAATAGCCTCTCAAGGCTATCAGCATAGGTAGGGGAAAAAAAACGTCGCGAGTGAATCGCGCGCTTCGCGGCTATTTCGACGTGAACACACACATACAACTTACGCGTTTGATATTGCCGCGACCGCAACGCGCGCGCAAGTCGCTAGCTTGCCCGCTACTTAGGCCGCGCGTGAGTTTTGTACGTGAACACTTATTACGCCATATGTTTGATATTTCGTGATCGCGCCCGCAAGTCAACGTGAGTGAACACTCAGCGTCTTGACTGGTCCTACCGCGATACAATCATTGTTCCAATTTATAAGGCGGGATAGCTGTGATACTATACAACTATTAAAACTTCGACCTCATGTTTCAAGGCAGAGCAACGGTGCTACCTAGAACCTATAGTCATAATGCGATGGCTATAGGTTCCAGTAAGCACTTTATGAATGCACCGAACGACTTATTCTTTAGACCACGACGACGAACTTACAGAAGCACCTGCTCGTGTTCACATTCGCTATTGACTTTTATAAATTTCCGTCTCAGATAGTCTCATACGGGACGTTAGTGTTCTGTCATAAAAATAGCAACCTATACTTTTAAGCAAGTCGTTTTATATAAAAGCATTTTTTCTCTTCTATGTTACATACTATCCAATCATTGGCTAGCAATATTCTTGGAGGTCGTAATTTTGTGATTAAGTTGTAAATTCGTAAACATACAAAATGCATACCATTGAAATGAGAGAAGGAACTTATTACACCAAATTCCACCATATGGACCTTTGTCGCAAATTATACAAATCGACTTTATTGTAATATAACAACATACAATAAATAAATAGAACCAGTAAAAAAATGCCGTTAATAAAATACGTTAATTTTAGTTTGATGAAAAAATCTAGTCAAAATTCATAGTGATGGAATTTGATACTATAATATCTTTCATATATTACTTACAAACTAGGTTTTACATTTGTAAAGTTATAATTTTTATTAATTATAAGTTTTATAATATTTATAAGTTTTGATTTAGATATAGTAATATAATCAACAAAAACATTAAAATCATAAAAAGGTTATGTAAGTACTTACTATCAAAAATTTGGCCAGATTTAGGAAGTTTTTCTAAGGAAAATACTCAGAACAGATTATTTAAATGTTACAAATTTATATTCCGTTCTAAAAAACTTCATAACAACTACTATAAGCAAGCCGGCCAGTAAGTAATTAATTGTTCTAGTCAATTAATGCATAATTATTAATTGCTCTAGTCAGTAAGTTATTGTTCCATATTCAAAAATATTTAAAAGAAACGAAAAATACCCATGCATAGCAAGCCGAACAAAAATTAATAATATTTTTAAGGAGGTCTTGGGTCTCATTGGACTGCAGAAATAATATTATAATTTAAAATATAATAATAATTTAAAATATAATATAAAATTATAATATTATAATTAGGATTCCAAATGACCACAACTTTTCTGCCAAAAGTAACCAACTATGATGATGAAAGCAGGTTATAAAAGCACGTGAAAAAGACCGCGAAAACTTTACAAATTTGACTGAACTGAACACAACAAAGTGTTTTTTTTAATTATAGCAATCGGCTTCTTGGGATGCAATTGTTGCTAAGGTGCAATAGAATTGAAAGTTGATTAGTACTCCTATTATCACTAATACTTACTACAATTACATTCCCGATCCTGCGGACAGAATGGAAAGCAGTCGACGTCGCCCAAAACACGTCATCTCGGATCCTCCCGATCCACTAACGGTGCTTTTAGGTACTTCAAGCACCGGTCACCGTTCTCGTCGAACCCGTCGCTTGCGACGAAGGGCTCGACGAGTAAATTAACTCTCAGACACAGCCCACTGAGTTTCTCGCCGGATCTTCTCAGTGGGTCGCGTTTCCGATCCGGTGGTAGATTCTGCGAAGCACGACTCTTGCTAGGGTTCGTGTTAGCAACATCGTCAGGTTTGAGCCCCGTGAGCTCACCTACTAAAGTTAGGGTTACGCTGAAATAGCCGCTAGGGCTATCAGCTTAGGTAGGGTAAAAAAAAAAAAAAAAAAAAAACTACAATTATTATTATACTTATATTAAAAGTTGAGATATCATAACATACATAAACTTTTTACCTATTCATTTGATATAAGATAGCAAATTTATTTATTTATCTATCACACGACACCAAATATTGAATAAGCTGGTTAATTACTACGCTTTTCTTATTAAAGTTTCCATAGTTTTATATTCCTCGGTTTTTAAGTTATGGATTTAATACGACACAACAAACTGGAAGAAGAAATAGTACTTTAACGTATTCCAAATATAATATTCATTTGCTAAGCTAAACATCAATACTTTTATATCGAAGGCGGTTCCTCATATGACAAGAGATCTTGGAAACCTCGTGCGTTATTAACACAACTACACTAGTTGTACAGCATCTGCACAAATAATAAGCTTATGAAAAAAAAAGTATACTGGAATTATTTATTGGAATTTCCTTAAAGATATCATAATACTTTTATTAATTTTGGAAAAAAAAACTCGGCTATTTAGTGCCTCGCCCCATCGCCTTATATTAGTGTTTATTATTACCATTCAGATTAAATGAGTACTCGAGATTTATTACACTAAAGTTAACGACATAATATTTGGTTAAGAATTTTATGCTTAATAAAATATAAATAAACATAATAAATTCAGAGGTTTTAAAGAAGAAATAGCATGTTATAAATTTTGTAATATATGTTCACTGTAATTAAATAGACAAAACATAGTTTAATTAAGAATTTTAAGTCAAACTTTCAGCAGTTTATGGGTAAAATTATAAACAAAAAAAAAACTTGCAAATATGTAGGTGATTTACGTGTGAAGTGACGTAAATTGGCATACGACGTATGTGGTTCTGAAAAATTAACCCTTTGCAACAGTTAGGTACATGTTAGAGCAACCATTTATTTTTGTAAAATAATTAAATCGAAAAATATTAATTCAATCGATTTTTATATGGATGTGTCAATTTAAGTAAAGTGACAACGCATTTTTTCGTTTTAGTGACTAGAAATACAACTTGTTTCACAGAAGAAAGTTCTAGGAACCATGAAGAAATATTGTTCTTACATCATAATGAATGATTATATTATCTGTTTAACAAATTATTCGTTCTTTTGAATAGCAGCAGCTCGCTCGTTCACGTCAATAGTTGCCAGGTTTAGCGAGGCGACAAAGCCGTGAAGAACAGAAATACCAGTCTTAACGATCGCAGTTGGCATCGTCACCATGGCAATCAGCCTATACAGCTCCACACCTAGAACTGAAGGTTTCATAAGTTAAACAAAAAGAATATACAAGCGTATAAATGCATTTGTTCCCAAAAATTAATACGGGTGGTAACTGGCAAATTATGCACAATATGAAGTTATAATGTACAAGGGCAATAAAAATATATATATATATATATATATATATATATTGTGATTCAGTTTCTTGCTGGATCTTTTCAGTGGGTCATGATTCAGATCCTGTAGTAAATTTTACGAAGCACTGCTCTTGCTAGGTTATGAGCTCTCCCAGGTTGAGCCTGTAGGATCAACTAGCAGCTAGTGCGTAGCTAGAACAGCCCCTTAGCTACCGGTGAATAGGTAAGGATTTTTTTATTATTCAAAGATTAAATTGTTACTTATGAAAAATTGCAACAGAATTTAGTCAGAGGCAGATTAGGAGACAAATTGCAGTATATTTTATACATACTTGTTGGTCCTGAATAGAAGTGCAGAACGTACAGCGATGCGTAGAAGGCTTCATTGCAAGCACACATATAGAAAAGGAGCCACTTGTTGGTGTAATAGGCACGCATGATAGGATTCTCAGACATGTCAATGAATTTATGAGAAGCCTTGCCCTGGAGCATTGACGTATGAAGGTACAACCAGTGACAAGTCACATCAATGGCTAGAGATAGCTGGAACCAGAATGTGTATTGGGGATAGAATGTTGCGAGAGTCACCAAGAGGCAAGAGGTGCCAGCTCTGTCGGTCAATTGATCAAGCATTGCACCAAATTTAGTACCTGAAATTAAAAGAAACAAATTTCATTTAAATTTTATAATTGTTAAGCTCACAATTTACCTTACAGTAGCCTACATTCAAGCATGCTCTCCATCGATATACTTAAAAAATATATAATTTGTATGCTTAACGGTGGCAGGAAGTCCTGTGAGCCCACACAGGTAGGTAGCACCACCCTGTCTATCTCTACCACGCAGTTGGAACCCATTATGGTTTAAGAATAGGGGAGCCTTTATAAATTGTACTATAGAGCTGAGACTAAGAACTCATAACTCAAGGTGGTGGTGGCATTTATGATGTTTACTAACAACATAAATGCCACCACACACCACATAGATATTTCTATGGGCTCCAGTAACCACTTAGTACCAGGTAGACAGTGAACTCATCCACCCATCTAAACAATAAAGAAATAAAAGCTGACTACTACTTGAAACTTCAATCTTATATCTTATGTTTGACGGGTTCGACCAGAATTGTAACTGGGTGCTTGGGATGCCTAAAAGAATCAATAAGAGGATCCGAAATGACATGTACAGGACGATGACGACTGTTTACCATTTAGTCATCTGGATCGGGTACGTAGTTTCTGGCGGCCACGATAGGAAGTTTATTGTCCCGCGCCCTTTTCTTACAGTAGATCCTTCCTAAACTTGAAATTTCATAATATTATTTTTCTTTTCGTGATCAGAATTAGAAAAAAAAAACTACTTGCAAAGAACAATGGCAATTTTTTACCTGAATGTTTTAAAAAGCGTCTTAGATTAAGACATAAACGAAACTTCATCATTTTATTTGCTCGTTTTTTATACGATGTTAGATTTACGTGGCAAACCCACGAAAATATGTTAATTTAATAAGCTTTTAATTCGATTTTTGTGTACTTCCGGTTTAATACATTTGTAAAGGATGGCATTTATACTATTGGCACAAAAAAGCTATATTTTTTGATAATGAATAATATTCATAAATTATTTAAAATGAAAATAATAATATTAATTATCCTTTGTTACAATTAGTACATAATTAAATAACTAAATATGTAATAGTAATGACAGCACTGCAGATGACTGATTTTAACAGTATGACAACTGACATAATGCGCATGACTATGCCCGGCCATAAGGCTCGTGAGTGGAAGAGAGAGCGAAATACTCGCTTCACCGCTCCGATTTTTTATGACCCAAGCTGCACGGACAAAATAATTCTACTATAGTAAATTAGCTTTGCAAGCCTTCGTTTGTCGCAAATATGTGACTAATTTGTTCAAAATGTTAAAAGCACCTATCTCTGACACACATTTTTACACATTTACAAAGAAGAAAGAACAAACTATAATATGTATATGTACCTAGGTAGTTCTGCAATTGCTAAGGGTACCTACTCGGGTACTATTAGAGGTGTATCCTTGGTTCATCTATGATNGAGTTTGAATATAAATGTAATAGCAGGCAACACTTGACACATGATTACAGATTTCGAATATTAGAATTATTTTTAATGTTTAAAAAACAGATGATTGTATTCTCGTAAGAAAATCAGAACTTCTAATTTATACACGCTCAAAGAAACATGTAAGAGCTTTATAAAAATATAAAGATAATAATTTTATAATTGTGTAACAGTAAGTATATGTATGTATGTACAGTTCAAACTTTCTGCAATATAATCATAATGAAGCAGTGTGTTTTAAATAGCCCCTCATCACCTACAGTACCCAATCCCCTCAAATATAACCGTCCAACAATTGTCGATAAGCATAATTATGTTCTTGTGAGAAGGAATAAAAAAAATTGTTAAAAAATAATTAAAGTTTATACGTCATAAGTAATACGTAGAATAGTGAAATAGTGTAGTGCGAATTATAAATTTCAAGATGACGATTTCTTTACATTGAAATCTCAATCTTTGATTATTTAAGTAGTAAGAAAAATCATAGCACTAATAAAAAAATAATAATAATAATAAGTAATAATAATAATAATATTATAAAGTGGAAAAATTTGTTTGTTTGTTTGTTTCGAATAGGCTCCGAAACTACTGGACCGATTTGAAAAATTCTTTTTCCATTAGAAGCCGACATTGTCCCTGATGAACATAGGCTACTTCTTTTAAATTTTTTTTATTTATTTTTTTTGGTTTAATGTGTGTTTTAATGTTTCCGAAGCGAAGCGAGGGCGGGTCGCTAGTAGTGTAATAATCTTATTTTCACATTTAATTTTCCCAAAAGACCAATTAAATAATAAACTACAAAAGTCGTATTTTCTATTTCTAACCGTCTCATTTATACAGTGGATAAAAGACTAGAGAAAAAGGAATAGTAATTTTGAAGAGTAGCTCACAGTTGAACATACTACGTTATATTTTTACTAACGTAAGCATGTCTGGGTGTAGTTCACATCTCAGCTTGCTTATATTATTTTTAAAGTATTTTTGTATAATATTTTTTCATTAGCAAATATATTTTGGTAATGCCGTATTGCTCACAAGAAATAGTAGTTTAGTATTTTTTAGAAATTTAGCATTTTTTCAAAAAAAAAAACAAATCAAAAAAAGGTTTTAACTTATTCAAGGAACTCTCCTAAGAATTATTGGTTGAAACCATAGACCTATATAGTAAGGACACGACATATTGTTCTATACGTACAATTGCTTATATAAATAGCACCCATTTTGAAGGCACACACATAAACATATATCTATCTCGTTCTTACTCAGCACTTTAACTCGCAGGAAAACAATATAACAGTATTTCAGTGCGTACATAAAATGAAACATGAATATACGTAAATGTCTCCGTCTCCGTCTAATGAGGCCGAAAATCCGCCATGTNACGATGACGACTGTTTACCATTTAGTCATCTGGATCGGGTACGTAGTTTCTGGCGGCCACGATAGGAAGTTTATTGTCCCGCGCCCTTTTCTTACAGTAGATCCTTCCTAAACTTGAAATTTCATAATATTATTTTTCTTTTCGTGATCAGAATTAGAAAAAAAAAACTACTTGCAAAGAACAATGGCAATTTTTTACCTGAATGTTTTAAAAAGCGTCTTAGATTAAGACATAAACGAAACTTCATCATTTTATTTGCTCGTTTTTTATACGATGTTAGATTTACGTGGCAAACCCACGAAAATATGTTAATTTAATAAGCTTTTAATTCGATTTTTGTGTACTTCCGGTTTAATACATTTGTAAAGGATGGCATTTATACTATTGGCACAAAAAAGCTATATTTTTTGATAATGAATAATATTCATAAATTATTTAAAATGAAAATAATAATATTAATTATCCTTTGTTACAATTAGTACATAATTAAATAACTAAATATGTAATAGTAATGACAGCACTGCAGATGACTGATTTTAACAGTATGACAACTGACATAATGCGCATGACTATGCCCGGCCATAAGGCTCGTGAGTGGAAGAGAGAGCGAAATACTCGCTTCACCGCTCCGATTTTTTATGACCCAAGCTGCACGGACAAAATAATTCTACTATAGTAAATTAGCTTTGCAAGCCTTCGTTTGTCGCAAATATGTGACTAATTTGTTCAAAATGTTAAAAGCACCTATCTCTGACACACATTTTTACACATTTACAAAGAAGAAAGAACAAACTATAATATGTATATGTACCTAGGTAGTTCTGCAATTGCTAAGGGTACCTACTCGGGTACTATTAGAGGTGTATCCTTGGTTCATCTATGATAATGAAACTAAAAATGTTATATAAACATATCGTTTACCTATTTTTTGTTATAGTCCGTGCCTACAAAAATCAGGGACATCTATTTATTGATAAATAACCTCAAATTATAAAGTAAACACGTTGATATCTTTTTTTTGTGACTTTCTAATACCAAAAATATTTCTGATTAAGCTTAAGCTATGTTATTCCTATCGTTTTAGTATTTTTTGTTTCTAGACGCCTCAAATAGATATCAGGTAAAATGTTGTATAGAAAGCTGCCATTGTTCTTTAATTATGTAGATGATATCCGATAACCAAAGTGTTTGCCTAATTAAATTACTGTGGTACCTTATAAAATACTTACTCTGATTAAAGTACCGGGCTGCATGACCGTCCACGGCGTCGAGCAATGCAGAGATGATGTAGCAGGAACACGCCAAAATGCAATGTGTAGGCATGAAATAAAATGATATGATCGCAAGGATCACACGCGCGAATCCTAAAAGACAGAAATGATTATTCCTTGTGAAAAAAATTGAAATTGATAGTATTTAGAGAAGCAACAATTTCTTGTCAGTAATTTGTAGAAACTTACCAATCAAGTTGGGCACAAATAAGAAGATATTCTCCTTCACTTCAGCCATGATGAATGTTTTATTGATTTAACGTAGTTAAATACGTACCGCACCTACCTACAGTAAATTTCGTATAAACACAATAAAGTATGAAGAAAGAATGACAATGACATACAAATATATTTGTTTGTTTGATTCGCTCATTAGACAGCTAAAGGGAATAGAGCCCAGACAGTACAACCCTTTAAAGGAAAGACCGAAGTAATGCTTTTGTGTGACAAACACAACATAGGATTCATAGAGATGTTTATTTATACTGCATCTTCAATAATGTCTACTTATATGTAGTTTTTTATTGTCAGTAGCCTTGTGCTACATATGCACAGGAGTACTGAAATCAAATAATTAATAAGGCAGCGAAATTCATTTATTCGAAATAGTCTGTAGAAAATTAGATGTCTAAATCTAATTGATTGTTGTTGGAGTTTGAATATAAATGTAATAGCAGGCAACACTTGACACATGATTACAGATTTCGAATATTAGAATTATTTTTAATGTTTAAAAAACAGATGATTGTATTCTCGTAAGAAAATCAGAACTTCTAATTTATACACGCTCAAAGAAACATGTAAGAGCTTTATAAAAATATAAAGATAATAATTTTATAATTGTGTAACAGTAAGTATGTATGTATGTACAGTTCAAACTTTCTGCAATATAATCATAATGAAGCAGTGTGTTTTAAATAGCCCCTCATCACCTACAGTACCCAATCCCCTCAAATATAACCGTCCAACAATTGTCGATAAGCATAATTATGTTCTTGTGAGAAGGAATAAAAAAAATTGTTAAAAAATAATTAAAGTTTATACGTCATAAGTAATACGTAGAATAGTGAAATAGTGTAGTGCGAATTATAAATTTCAAGATGACGATTTCTTTACATTGAAATCTCAATCTTTGATTATTTAAGTAGTAAGAAAAATCATAGCACTAATAAAAAAATAATATAGTGTAATAATAATAATAATATTATAAAGTGGAAAAATTTGTTTGTTTGTTTGTTTCGAATAGGCTCCGAAACTACTGGACCGATTTGAAAAATTCTTTTTCCATTAGAAGCCGACATTGTCCCTGATGAACATAGGCTACTTCTTTTAAATTTTTTTTATTTATTTTTTTTGGTTTAATGTGTGTTTTAATGTTTCCGAAGCGAAGCGAGGGCGGGTCGCTAGTAGTGTAATAATCTTATTTTCACATTTAATTTTCCCAAAAGACCAATTAAATAATAAACTACAAAAGTCGTATTTTCTATTTCTAACCGTCTCATTTATACAGTGGATACAAGACTAGAGAAAAAGGAATAGTAATTTTGAAGAGTAGCTCACAGTTGAACATACTACGTTATATTTTTACTAACGTAAGCATGTCTGGGTGTAGTTCACATCTCAGCTTGCTTATATTATTTTTAAAGTATTTTTGTATAATATTTTTTCATTAGCAAATATATTTTGGTAATGCCGTATTGCTCACAAGAAATAGTAGTTTAGTATTTTTTAGAAATTTAGCATTTTTTCAAAAAAAAAAACAAATCAAAAAAAGGTTTTAACTTATTCAAGGAACTCTCCTAAGAATTATTGGTTGAAACTCGTTGTCCAATAAACAGCTTACTATTTTCTACTAATAAATATTTGTTTCTACATCGCGGCAATCAAACGTGACAAATGTACAAAATCTTACTAGTTTTATTGTGAATTTATGGCGATTTAATGGAGTTCGTAAAATCTGGAAACAAATCGATAGATTATGAAAATTGGCCAAAATATCGATTCTAAAATATTTTTGTTTCGATTTAATATTTTCAAGCAAACCTGTATTCGCCAGAGGGCATCTACATCGGCCGTCATCTTTGAAAAAGTTGGTCAGACTCAGAACTTGGAATCTGTCGAAAAAGATGTCTAATGATTACAGATGTCTAGGACTTTATGTTGGCTGTAGAACTGTAACTCGAAATGACCCGGTTTAATGGGCTTAATAGCTAGTTTACGTGATAGACTCTGACGAGGTAGAGTAATTTTAGTGTGAAAAGTCATAAGACCAGTGTCATCTGACTACTCTTCCTTCAAGATGGCTCCTTCACCGGAGTATGATAAGGAACCGAAAGCCCCGGATAAAAGTGCAACATGTGTATCTAGTGATGATACAAAAGTTCTTCATAATCTAGTGACTGACCAACAAACGAACTCAGATCTCAAACCGATGAATTCAATTGGGAACTCGGACGTGGAGGTAAGACGATCTCTTATTATTTTTAATTTTGAAGTTTCGTATCAATTCGTTCGTAATGATTATGTTAATAATTGTCTTTAGATTTACGTTGAAATCGTATTAAAGCGAAATTGATGTATTAATATTTTTTCTTCAGCAAGTAGGTTATTGAAAATGGCGAAAGGTAAAGTTATAATAATTTAAATGTGCAGGATAAGTCAGGCTGTGTTTTATAAAATTATTAGGGGAAGGATATCCTTTAATGTCACTGTAATAATGTGTATTTATAGCTTTTCACAGTCTGAAAAATAAACAAATTTGGGCAAAAACTTAATACTATTTTGATCAAAGGAGAGAATAGTGCATGATGATTAATCTTAAAAAGTCATATGTGAGGTAATCATTTTATTAACATATTTAGCATTTATTTACAAAATTAAAATTATATACAAAACTAAGAGATTTACCTAATTTAAAGCTTATTAAAACTGGTTAATGAAGAACAAATGTAATTGCAATATATGGCTTCAAGAAATAATTTAAATATGTGAATAAAGCTCTGATATGAATGATAGAGAAGATGAGAGTAGAGAGAAAAATAACTTTAAAGTTTGTTTTCATGATTGAGAGGGGAAGTTCAGTCCTTTCCAGTAAATCCAAGCTTTACTATATGTCTGGTAGATGTGAATATAGGCTTCATTATTTCTGAACATGTTCACTGTCTATTGTAACATTGAGATGCTCTTCATAACTTTATTTTTTAACATATTAATCTTCAGATTATATGTTCAAAAATATAAGCCATATTTTTCTCATTAGCTTTTTGTGATAAACGTCGAGCAACAAATAAATTATTTTTAGATTTTGCAGAGACATAAAAATATAACGTTTAATTGATTTCAATTCAATGACAAGTTTCAAATAACTAAGTCCTAAACTTGGTAGATAATGAATAAATGATGTATATATATTTCATTTTGATGTTATATATCTTGTACCATCTTTCAAATCATCTAATGCACAGATTACACAATCTGTAGATACAAATATCTTACAAAGTCTTTATACACATGTTGAACTTGGAGAAAACCCATTTAAGCAAACCAGATAGGGCTTTATAAATTTTCTTTATATTAATGATACATTTCTCTGTTGGTGAGGGATTTAGAACATTGCTTAGGTTTGAAATATAAATGCGGCTGGGGTGTCAGAATATGATTCGGCAAACCATCTGTGCACACTACTCTTGTATTTAAATCAACAGAGATCATGAAATTATGATGCTATTTTGATTGATGCTACATCAAAATACAAAGTAAAAATCAATCTTCTGAAAAAAATTCTATTATCCTAATATTGTTGGTAATGTTTTACGGAACTCAAGTTAATGTGTCTGATATTTAGGGCATAGCGGTTCATAACCATATCTTTGGCAGAAAAAATCTGTCACAGAATGCAATATCATAGGTCTTCAGGATTATCATACCTTGAAAAAATGTTTGATAAAAGAAAAAAAGAAAATCCTAAAAGCGATTAGATATGTATTATTGATTTAATGCAATCATTGCCAAGCTTTACTTGTTTATTTAGCAGTTTCTATAGTCTATAGCTATATAGCTATATAGCTTGTGCCTAAGCTTAAGTATTTGAGAATAATAAGTAATTTTGAAAAATATTGCAAAATTCAAATCTCTGTTTGATATTACAATATAAAATACTAAATGTTACCATGGGTAACAGCTAGTATTTGAAAATGCAGGGGTAGACACGGGCCTAACCTCACATTGTCTAGGAAATGTGGTAGTATAGTTTCCCAGTGGAATAAGATGTTTGTTTAAGATTAAAAGTAGCCAATGCCACTCTTCGGACAGAATATTATCACTTTTAAAAAACATGTCAATCTGTCGCTCCATTTCGGTATAAAAAAGAACAAACAAATTATCAATATCACATTTACAATATTAGTATGGATGATGAATTTAGTACATAAAGTGACTATAATTAGTAGAAGCAGGTCTGCATTTCTTAGTCAGAAACTTACACTGGCCAAATATCTGCTCAGTACTGTTGTTGTGTAGACCACAATTTGAAATACATACATTTGGTCCAGTATATACTTTAAATTAACCTATTGCATTTTATTTATCTCCTCATAGCTTGATAGGTCTTATCAGTTTATTAAAATTCATGATGGTCATCATGATTATTAAGATTATTGCAATGATCCCTATTTAAGTCTTAATGTGAATAATTACAGTAAACAACATGCCTTAATTGTGAAACTAATTTAATTTACTGGCAAGTTAGGGCACTGGGTGGTATCACATGACAGGATCCTGAGTCTAGGTCACCCAATAGATCCACATTTCGTCCGCCTTGATGAAGCTTGATGGCAAATATCGTTCCAGCACACACGTCATTTTGCACTCAGACAGAAAATCAGAATACATTAGAGTATTCAATTTGAATGCTTCTGCTTAAAGATGAGCCAGTGACATATCATTGCATGACCAATTAATTGAAAACTACTACTGATAAATAATGAATCGTACCGTTCATCAGAGCTGACCACTCTATGTATATTCTTAGCGTCGTTAGTGAATGCGTCTCGTATCTCGATTCATGGCGCCAAAATTGCGATGCAGATTAATTATAGATTTAGATTTGAGAGATCGAAATTTATATGAAAAAAATATCAATATAAGATTAATTGATCCGATGATGGATAAAGTATTGACTGTGCTTGGTAACAAGCTACATGGAAGACCAAAATAAATAATGCTTGTGATTCAGAACAGTTTAGGAAATGGTATTACTTAGTTGAAGAATATGTATACTTGTTTGAGTTATTTTTTTTAGCTTCGTTAAACAAAATTGTTGTTTTAAAAGAGTTTTAGGCTCACTAATAATATTATTGTACAATTTGAAGAACTTAACGCGGGAAATCTTTAATCATCAAAATCAAAAATTCAAAACCAAACTAGATAGATTATTTATATTTTTTCGGATTCGAATTTCGGATTCTTATCACTGGCAACTTTGACCTCAAATATCCGGAGTTTGTTTTACAATTTTAAGTTCCAGGTTAATTTATTTTTCGAAATTGTTTTTTCCTTTGTTGCGAATACAGATCGTCTGATTGCTCTGATTAAGGAATAAGGAATATAAAAGTAACTTTTAATTGGGAAACTTTGTTTCTCTAAAATAAATGTTGACGGTCGTTAAGGATTGAATTCAAAGTACGAATCGACATTTTGTTGGGGCCGGCTACCACTGGGCAACGCTGCGTTTTTGTTTGAAAAAGTTTGATTTATGCATAAGTCCCGAAGCTTCTGGAATAATTGGGAATGTATTTAGTTGAAACAGATTTCAAATCACCTCAAAACTAAACGCAGCCTTCAGTGGAAGTGACAAAACACTTTTATTTGTGTCAAACTGAGAAAAATACCACGTGCTTAGAGCGAAGCCCGTTACGTGCTGGGTGCTGTGTTTATTTCTCAACATTAGTGCGGAGATCCCGATAGGTATTCGTATTCGTTACTTCCGATGAAAATAGGAAGCGGTTATCACTTTTCTAAACCCTAAACAATCGTCCAAAATGAACGAAAGTTATAGTTTTCAGTTTTAGCTTTTCGGGCTTAACTCTTACTGCAGATCTATTATTAATATCTATTATTAAGGTCTATTATTAAAGTACCACCACCTATTGCTTTTTCAGGATACCCTCGACAAAAAACTGCACAATGACCCTCATTATAAGTGGCCCGTGGACCTGGGCAATACCAGTGTAACTAGAGGGTTGTTACCTATCGTACTAAATTTACTTCTTTTTTTACGGTGTATTGTTGAAAACATTGATGAAACAAAATGATAATATTATTTTATTCTCCTTCATGCAAAATTATTACGATAACACCACGGAAAGGACTTACTTATCTTACGAAATTGCCACGCAAACGTTACTAAAGGCGTCTGATCGGAGCTTTATTACGTGTGACGTCATTCGGGGCGATAATAAGGGGCGGACTGACCATAGAATGTGCTTTCCATGTCGATTTTGGTAACATTGACCGACTTCTGCAAATGGATCGTTACCGATATATACAATAATCGAACCATAGAATGAACACTAAAGACCAACATTACCCACAATGTATGTCGTCACGGAGTCCGATTGACTGTTTTTGTATAGGATTAGTTCTAATACTTGGGGTGTTTTAAATTTTTAATATTGCACAAAAATGGGGTTTGAATGATCGTTTTAATGTATTTAACATTCCTGGTATTTGTTATTGTTGTCCGTTGGTCTATATTCGTAATATCCTCGTTTTTATTTGACTGATGGTATCAATGTCACGGGAATGCTATGGACTCCTTTATCTTCAATCTCTATTATTAGTTCGCGTTATAATAATGCCTTAATTAATCAGTACAAATCCCCATAACTGAGCCTTTGCTCGCCCACCTGTCCTGGTGAAACTGGAAAGGCCTTCGGGACACCAGTAATCCTTCCTTCATTAAAAAAAAACGAATACCTCCTATTTAGCTTGAGTATCCAAAAATTAAAACTGGAGGTCCTGCAGTAGTCGAAATTCGACTATAATTAATTGGAATTGTAAGTTTGTACACTATTATGATTGTATTTTACACTTCTGTAATCACAAATTTCGCCAAGACTACACTATAAAAAATATTAACAAAGACAAACCATGTTCTATTTATTCTCAATTTGACAACAGACGTCAAGAACAAAAGTTTGACAATAAGTCAAATACACGGTATGTAGTGTGTGTAATGTTTTCTTTATTGATTTAATGCATTTTTTATGCATTATTAAAAAATTGGCATTGTGCACTTCTTCTCTATACTTTAAGTGTGGAAAATTTCATACTCCTCCGTCCGCGCAATTTTCGTAAAAAGGGATACAAAGTTTTTGCTTCACGTATTAATATATAGATTTTTTTTTTATCGCAAAATCTTAATCGTCTAACGTCGTTATCACTATTAGTTTCTTACGAGTG